TCCCCAAAGGCTTCTTTTACTCATTTGACTTAAACTTAACTAGATCAAATACCTCTGAAAGAAAATCTATCTACGAGAATGCACTTTGCAAATTTGAGAAGGGCTTTTTCCAGGAAAATTTCCGCTTCATCCCCAAATAAGCCGAAAAAAAAGTATTAACATGCAGTGATTTACTTGCTTTACAAGATGGGTCACCACTCTGTTTGATTTTCAAATACTAAAACCTTCTCGATATAGAATGAGTGAAGACATGTCGCTAACTGAAAATTAGACAGTTTTATCTGATATTTTTGACCATTTTGTGTTATTAAGACCGAAAGGTCAGAAAGCATGCTCGGTCTGCTCTATCGAAATCGTAAGAATATACGGAGTCGTTTTCAAGATATTTAAAGAAATGCATTCGAAAAAAGTTTGACATCTTGTGAAACTCCGAACTTTTAACGTCAAATTTCTCCAAACTAGGTAGGCCTACTGAGCAGATAGAGCTTAGTCATTCTAAGGTAGCGATATCTTATATAGCGCGTAGGGCATTCTTTTTTAAAACTGACCTATCTTGTATGAAAGAGTAGTAGCAAAGATTGCATACAAATTGAGAACATTTGTTAAGGAATCGAAATAAAATGTTCTTGACTCGACATCATCATCACCATGACGTGCCAGGTCTGGAGTAGACATCCGCGATCATGTTACGCCACTTTTTTTCTTCTGGTCCGAAAGCTCTCAAAGAACCTATGCGTTACCCCGGTCTTATCCCGTTACACATTTGTTCACATACTCTAAGTAAATTACTCTTGGTCTACCGCTGCTTCGTTTACCTTCTATTTTTCCAGCGAGAGCAAGATGTTCAAGACCTTTATAACTGTCGATTCAAGTACCTTTCTCTTGGTCTACCTTTGCCTCGTTTGCCTTTTATTTTTTCTATGAGAGAAAGATATCGATTCAAGTGTCCTAGAAACTGCATTTATCTCCTCCCAATTGTTTTTATTAGTGAGTAGCCCGCTCGGGCTTCTTTCAGTTCTACCTCCGTCCATTTTTTTTCCTTCCATGAATTTATCAACAGTCTCAGTGGGTGGTTGACGGGTGCTTTGGTTTGGTTTGCTTCTTCTTTCCTATCAGACATCTATCGCCTTTATCTCCCCTCCTTCTTTTTTGTGTTTGTTACTCTCTTGTAACACCTCTAGTCTTCGGCACTTATATGACCTTATTGTGTTGCAAGTGCCGTAAAACACTTACTAAACACCCACACACACACACTCACACACCCACACACACACAAAAACCCACCCAGTCTCATGGGAAATCGCACTCATGTTGCTTCTATATTGTTTTCCCTGTTTTTGGTAGTTGGCCAGCATTCACAACGTATAGAAGGGTT